ATTTTAGCTACTGTTTCCCAGGTGTGGTGCAGGGTCTGCCAAAAGTTACCATTAATCCTGAGCAGTTTCTTCAGGAGAGGCGTGAGGGGAGCCAGCCTTTCCGAGGACGAGGAGATCTCCGTAAGTATCGCCCATATGACAGTCGTGACTCTGTCCCGTCACTAGGGTGGCGGGCAGCAGAAATCCCCAGGCTCATTTTCCTGCTCGGGGCTGTTGGAAGCGCAGCAGCTCTGCGACGGGGTTATATAGCACGATGCATGTCACACCTACAGAGTAACTGGCTTAAGACAATCTGGACAGCTGCAGTCTCTGGTATCTGGGACACCAGTGGCTTGCTGCTCTGGGGCTGCCAGCTCCAATTGGTCACTGCATCTTAAAGACACAGCCAGAGGGGCTGAGATTCGTCATGCTATGGACGCGGGGCAGGCTCCGTGGGTCTGACCCTGAGGCCAGTGAGAGAGCAGAGGGAAAAACATCCCTAATGCCCTACAGGAGCGTTGCAATTAATGCTCCTCCACCCGCTCTCGTGCCAGTGATGGTCACTAGGGCAAATCTCTCCGAAGGCCAGCAAGCTCAGGCTTTGTGCAGGTGCCAAGGAGCAGCAGTGCCAAGGGGGTGGGGACTGTGGGGTGATGGGTGGTGGCAGGGTGCGCCCAGTGGGTCTGCAGGCAGCCTGGATCTGAGCAACATGGGACCTGCCAGGTAAAATCAGACCAGGAGCCCACCAGCCCCAGTCTCCTGTCTCCCCCAGTTGCTGGCACCAGCTTCCAGAGGATGGGGCAAGAAACCCCCTAACGGACACAGCTTGGATAACCTGCCCATGGGGGTGTTTCTTCATATAATGGGACATTGTTAACCCTGCCTGTTGTGGCTCTGGGTGGTCTAGTTATCATGGCTCTGGCTAGCTCCTGTCTAGTCCCGCCTATGGTAGGTCTCCATGATATCTTGTGGCACTGAGTTCCACAGGTTAACTATAGTGGGGGGAGCACCTCCTCCCAGGACTCTGTATGACCCAGGCCTGTGCAAGGGAGATTCTTCCCCCCTCCCCCCACGGATGCACTAGCATCTAGGAGCTGCTGCCCTTCTCCCCACCATGTAGCCCTGGGGGAGAACTGCAGAGAGGAGCCAGCCAGAGCCCCAGCTGGTAGGACCAGAACCAGCCAGAGCAGGGACCACTGGGCATTCAGAGACCTTCCTGCAGTTTAACTGGACTTTCTCTGCCCTGTGCTGATTGGCCATTTGCTCTAACCCCGCTCCCCTGGGTCTCTTCACCTCAGCATCACTCCACACCTGCACCCTTACTCTCTTCTCCCCTGCCCCGTCCCCCTCAGCCCTGCCCCTCCCTTCCCTGTTCTTTCCATGTAGCTGATCCCCTCCTAAGTAACCCCCCAAAGGAACACACCAATAAATCCTGACACTGACATGCCGTTTGCTGCCATCACGCAGGTCCCTGCTGGTGTGTTCCAGCCCTTCCCACCCTGTGTCCATCTGGTCTATTGCGACCGGCAGCTCTTTGGGGCAGGGACTTCCTGCCCCTCTGGGGGCCTCTTAAAGCGCCTTCCCCTTCTGGTGGGCCCCCTCTTCCTGCCCCTCTGGAGGGGCCCCATTCTGCCTGCCACCCTAGGGGCCTCCCTCTGCCTGCTGCTCTGGGCCCCCCTCTGCCTGCCCTGTAGGGGCCCCCCTCTGCCTGCCACGCTGCCTGCCCCATCCACCGTCAATCACACGATCACTAATGGTAACTGTACACCTGACACCCCCAAAGAGGGGGATGGGAGCAGCAGGCCCTGGTAGCTTCTCCTCCCCCATTCTGGCTGTGGCCTAGCTGCCCCCCAGCTCTGTGACCCAATGGCACAAAGCAAAACCCTTGCAGGCCCCATGGCCCAGGAGGCAAGCCCTGAATGCAGAGGATGCAGGAACCCGTGTCCTGTCTGTGCCTAAAGATCCCCCCCTCCCACATCTGAGGGCACCAAGCCCAACCCCCACCACCGCTGGCAAGCCCAGCCTTGCCCTCTGAGAAGAGCAGCATGAGTGCTGGGCACAGGGACAATGCAGGGGCCGGGCTGGGGGCGGTCAGGGGAGCCTTGCAGAGAACAGCAGCTGCCCCAAGGGGGCCTTGCCTGTCCTAGGGGAGCTGAATGGGAGATGCTGAGGGATCTGGGGGGGGGGGGGTGTCACCGTGACCAGCTCACACCGATTTAAGGGACACCTCCCCTTGTCTACACTAGGACGTTCACCGTGTGCAAACACACAGTTCGCTAGCGAAGACAAGCTGGGAGAAAAGTGTGTGTGGGGGAGCTTGGGTCTGGTGCTTTACAGCAGCAGAGGTGAGCCGCTCCTGGGACTCTTTACCAGCCTGGCTTGTCAGGTCAGCTACCCTGGGCTTTGACTGGTGGCTAGCAAGGGAAGGGTTAACCCTCTCCCCCTGGCTGGAGGAAGGAGCCCAGCTGCTGCCCCTGAGGGATATTGGGCACAGGGCTGGGCCAGCTGTGGGCACTTAGGGCCACCTCCCCAGCACGCTACAAAAGGAGGAGGTTTGGGGCTGGGGAGGTTGATAGCAAAGAGAGGGAGGAAGGGTGGATGGAGGGATGGAGAGACAGATTGATTGATTGATTGATTGCTAGCTAGCTATTGGCAGGAAAGGGAGGGGGATGCTATGCAATGGAGCGGTGTGGCCGGGGGCAGCTGTAGCACTGCAGGAGTGCTGTGGGGGGGGGACCCTCAGAGGGGCAGGCTGTTTGACTGTTCCATGCTAATGCACCCTGCAGAAGGGGCTGACCCCCAAGCCATGTAGGGCCCTTTGGGGCCCCACAGCCCCTCATGCTGGTGACAGGGCCTGAGGGAAAACAGCCTGGCCACTCCCAGGCACAGGGGCTCATGGTGGGGTTGGGCTGGAGGCTTTGCCAGCTGGGCCACGTACTTCAGGGCCTAAGGACCTGCTATTTGCTTTTTTCTCTGGGGGCCTGCTCTCCTCCAGGCTGGCGGGTGCTTCCCCTGCCAGGGAGCAGGCAGCCCCAGGCTGCCTCTTCTAGCCATAGCTGAGTTTGGGGACCCCACCAGAGCTGTTTCCCAGGCTGTGCAGCTCCCAGTGGCCCCTCTGCTCACTTGGCCGGGCTGGGGGGCTGTGGGAACAGCCCCTGAGGGCTCCCTGCAGCGTATGCCAGTGGCAGGAGCCCTGTCCCATTCCAGAGGCATCAGGGCTCCCCGAGGAGGGTACAAAGGGAAGGATCCGAGTGCAGCTTCTCCAATGACAGCTGCAGAATAAAGCCGTGGGCTACAGGGGGCCGCGCTGCACTGCCCGGCAGCTCTGCATCAGGCCAGGGTGGGCAGGGTATGTCTGCTCAGCCCCGCAGACAGAGCTGGGCTCCCGCGAGTGCTCACTTTGAGGCTGCGGTTTGGACTGTAGCTCGGGCTCGGACGCCCATCCCCCTCTCTAAGCTTTGGGGTCTGAGCTGCACCTTCAAAGCGCTGTCTACATGGCTGTTGTCAGAGGGCCCGTGCGAGCCCCACTCTGGAAGCTGGGCTGGGGCTGTGTGGACAGACCTAACGGCTCCTCGGTCAGTGGCTGCCAGCGATCCTCTGAGGGAATGCTGGGGCTGTGAGGAGCTGTGTCACTCCCCTGGGGTCAGCGCTGTCTTTACCAAGAGCTCCCTCTGGATCCCACATCCCAACCCGCCGAGGGCCACTCAAAGACAGACCCTGCAGCCTGCAAAGTTCTGTATGTGGCATCCAGAGCCGCCCAGCAGCTGCCACAATGCCCAGAGGGGACAGGAGCCGCCTGGCAGAGTAGAGTCAGCAACACTGCCTGCTCAGTCTGATCGCCTCACTCCCCATGGCCTCCACCTCCCTGCTGCTGTATGCATGTGCCAGCCCCATCTCCAGCCATGCCAGCCTCTGGGCACAGGGCGCTCCCCGGCAGGGCCCACAGGGCTGAGAGAAAACCCAAACCCCGGCCGCTGCTCCAGAAGGGAAGCAGGGTCAGGAACAAAGCACTGGAGACGGTTTATGAGACGTGTTGCACAGAGGAAGCTCCTACTTGGCTGCCATGGGGCCCAGCTCCAAGGGGGCTGCAGGGCTGCAGTTGGCATCGCTCAGACAAACCACTTAGAAAGTTCAAAGTGTAGCATCCTGTGTGTTAGTGACATGTCCCTTTTCCTCCGATACTGCGCAGCGCTGCCCTCCACTCTCCCTCCAGCCAGTTCACGTGACAAAGGTTCGGCACCGATTCATAGTGGCAAAGGGACCAGGACTTTAACTGCAACAGCCAAGCTGCGTGTCCTGTGCCTACTTCGAATGGAAGCTGTTGGCAGCAGGGACCCGCCTCCTCCCCGTCTGTACACTACAGAGCTGATCAGGGCTTGTCGCTAGTCTCAAGCCGACGATGGTAAATGGAAGCTGCAGTAAGACTGGTTGGGAGCTATGTCAGCTGACTCAGTGCCTCTCTCTTTACTGATTCCCGCTCACACCTGTCCCCCTCCATGCACACAAAATCCCAAACATCCTTTACCACAATGATAAACCTGCTTGGACGAGGCTGAAAGCTGGCCAGGTGTCCCCATGTGCCCAGCAGAGAAATAGCAGGAACCACATACAGCAGAGCACCCCCATAATCTTATGTATGTTAGCCTTTGCCTCCCCCCCTCGCTCCTCGTCAGCTGCTTGTCACTCCGTGTGTTCTCTGAGCATGGAGAGACAGGGACTAGCGTGTGTCAGAACCAGCCCCACATACGGTGCCGCATCCACACGGGCCAGGGGCTAAAGCCTTTTGCAGGGTGTGCTCTAATGAGCTTACCTGTTCCCACTCATTTTACGTCTCTCTTGACGCCCTTGCGGGGCGGGAGGAGGGGGAGGAATTCTGAAAACAAACCAGCAATTTTATTTGACAACCCTGGGTCCCTCCCTTGTTTGGCAGGAAGCTGCATTACCAGCCCGCAGATCAGAGCCCAGGGTGTCAAACCAGCCGCAGGAGGCCCCAAACGCGTGGCAGAGACTCTGCAACTTACTTCCAGTGGAAGAGGACGAGCGGCGCTGGCTGAAAGAGGGCACCTGAGTCTCCGTTGGCAGTGGAGGGGGTGGGGGTGGAGGACAGATGTTCTCAGGAAGCGGAGGGGGAGGGGGCGGGGGCGTCATCTCCCCAGAGGGCTTGTTCTCAGCCGCACTCCCATTGTGCACGTTGTCGTTGGAAAGAAGAGACGCCTTAAACAAACCAACACATACATACATTGAAATCAGGCAGTAAAGGTCCAGCGAGTCAGGCGATGCAATGCACTTGCTACCGCTGTCACCCTGCCAGCTGCTGTCTGTGGCAGGGCCCAGGGGCTCCCAGCTGGGACCACAACGAGTGACCTTGCTGGGGGGAGCTGGCAATGGAGGCCAAAGCCCATCCTGCAGAGCAGGGCCAGCAGGCAGCTTCCCCACACGCTGATCTGGGGCTACGCAGCAGGGGCTGGCCCCAGCGGAGGCTGCTGGCGAGATGGCCAGCTCGGGCCAGTGGTCTTTACGATGCAGACATCTGTGCAGTGGGAACTGGGCTGAGCCCCCCCAGTTCATTTTATACAAGCCCTGGAGCAGGCACTGGCACTGGGGGGGGGGGGTTGGACGGGTCCCCGAAACGGGGAGTCTCTGCTTCCCAGTCCCAGCCCCTGAGCCAGGCAGGCCCATGTCTGTACGAACACGATCTGCTCGGCGGCCCACCCTGCCCAGTCAGACCCGCTCAGACGCCGGGAGCTCGCTCAGGACTTCAGGCTCGATGCCCTGAGGGTTGGGGCCCCAGAGAAAAGCAGCTGAAGGGTGGGCGGTGGGAGCAGCGGCGCTAGTGGCTCACCTCCTCGCTGTGCGCCATCTTCCAGCTGCCAGGCTGCTCCCCCGCACTGTTGTCGAGGTGTTTGTAGTAATCCCCGGTGCTGGGCTGCTTGCTGAAGTTCCTAGATTTCCTGCTGGAGTCGACCCGCCGGAGGCCTTCCAGGCTGCTGTCGTGTGACGATAACTGCAAGCAACAAGGGGTAGCAGGGTTTGCGCTGGGGAAATGGGGAGGCCCCCGATGAGAGCAGGGCCCCGTTTGCTGAGTGCTGTCGATACATGGAGTGGGAGACTGTCCCTGCTTTGAAACAGACAAGGGGGGTGGGAAGGAGCAGCCTCACTCGGCACGGGTGGGAACTGGGGTCCAGAGACACGACGTGACTTGCCCCGGGTCATGCAGGGAAACTGAGCCCAGGCCAGACCCTCCTCCACAGAGGCATCCTTCACTCCATGGCACACCTCGTAGCACTGCACCCCGCGTGCTGGTGCACAGTACAATGAACGCCACCAGGGCTATTCTATTTCTTTCTATCACTGGAGGCTCTAGGAGCCCCAGTTATTGCCCAGGACCAGTGTGCTGGGTGCTGTACAGACACCGAACAAAAAGGCATTCTGGGCATTGTCCATTGACACTCACTGGGGGACGAACACTTGGAGAAATAACTCGGTTCTGAGCTGCTCTTCAGTTGTTTAATCATTTCAGTTTCCAGCACACAGCCAGCAATGTCGTTTGCATTAATATCTCCCAGAGCTCCTCTGTGCTTCACATGTGATAAATAACGAAGTATCCGAACACAGCCCGGCCGATACGCCGTGTGTGGAGCTGGGATTCCGAACACTGAGCCGAATGCCACATTTATCAGCATGAGACACCACGGCCGTTCTGTGACAGTGGCAGGGTTAGCTCCCAGAGCAGGAGACATTGTGGGTAATTTTCTAGTGGACTGAAAAATCTCATTGACTATTTTAGGTTTTCCTGGTGCGCTCTTCTCGCTAGCGTCTAGCTGCTGAGGTGAGAGCAGGCGAATGCAATTCCATAACGCCATGAGGGCCTGAAACCTGCCCTGCACGCGGCACTAAGAACCTGGCTGAGTCTTTGTTTTCATAACCCCGTTTGAGGCGAGTTTAGGATCCACAGCACCAATCCCAGCCCCTGTGGATTAGCTGGGGCAGCTTATCCCGTTGCAAAGCCCGCGGGGTTGGGCGCTTCCCACAGCCCCAAACTTTGCTTTCAATAGATGTTCTTACGTAACTAAGACCCACCGGGAGCAGCAGCTTTAAATCGCCGTGGTGCAGATCTCAAGGGCTTTGTGCGCAGAACAGCTAAGTGACCTGGATTGTATGAGGCAGGTAATAGCACAAAGGTCCTTGGAAACGGTCCTAGCTGTTTCCCAGAGGCGATCAGCGCCTCTGAGCCAGGTGTCACTAATCTCCAGAGCGTGCTTCCTCCAGTGTGCCTGGCTACGGGGACAGTTACCAGGCGGCTCTGCTGGGCGAGTGCTGAGCCGGGGCAGCCTCAAGCCGGGGTAGGGAGGATCACATTGCGGGGACATCTGCTCATGGGGCTCTAGGACGATGCAGTAAACACCTGCAATTGAAGGCTGGCCGTGAGCCCTGGGGGAGCTGGCCTGCATCGCTACAAGAGAGCCGCCCCCTGCTCTTGGGAAGAACTGCCCAGTGGCTAGGGCACCAAGCTGGGACTCAGGAGACGAGGGTTCAAGTCACCGCTCTGCCAGAGACTCCATGGGTGACTCTTGCTGTGTCTTGATCCCCCTCTGTGGACTGGGCTCGCTAGCCCTGCCCTGCTGCACAGCGACGTGGTGGGGTATTTACATGAGTGATGATGAGGCACTCAGAGGGGGACAGCTACATACCAGACCTAGATCTCTGCCCCTGTGGAGCCAGTGGGCTAGGAACACAGTTGAGGCCTTGTGCTAAGCCACTGGGGCACGAAAAGTCGCCCCTGGCCCAAGTGTGAGCCGTCCTGCAACCAGACGGGCAGCCCGAAGGGACTGCTGCCTTGGGAGCATGGCCCTGGGGAATGGGGCTCGCACCGACAGCACAGCGGAGAACTGCTGGTTGCATCTTTGCTACTGAATCTCAGAGTCCCTGACTCCAGCTCACAGGCTCTTTTGTTCCAGAGGCCAGGCTATTTGCATTCATCTCTCTTTCCCCCTTGCATACGATTTTGCATGGCCATGATTTGTATGACTGTAACATTAAACAGGCCAATCTGCATTGGTAATTGCCTACGTGCTGCTCACTCAGTCTCCTTTGGACTCTCAGACAAATTCTGCTCTCAGTTAAACCAATCACAATCCAGAATAATGCAGCTGGGGTCAGAATGTGGCCCTTAGCAAGGAAATACAGTTCCAATGACACCTTGGCAATGCACACGTGGACACTCAAATGCAAAGGGGCTGTGTTCTCCAAACGGACCCCGAGCTTTAGGTGGCTAGTGGCAACTGGTTCTGAAGTCCGGCTCTGTGAGTGAAGAAAAGGCCCCTTCCTTGACTGCCTCTCTATCCGCTGCTGCTGCAGGACTCAGCTCTGGCCAACAGCTGATGCAAAGTGAAGTGGACAACTGCTAAAGATGGCAACTCTTGCCAGCCTCCTGCACTCTGGGTGTTGCAAACAAGCAGGCTGGTGGCTGCACAGAGGAGATCTCTCGCTTTTTGTTCCCAAAATATAAATGACTTGGGAGGATCCAAACCACTAATAAAGAAATGCTAACGGGGCGGCAGCATGTTCAGTACCGTGCCCCCCCCCGGGTATCTGTGAGCTAGAGTGCTCACAAGTGAGCAGAGATCTGATAGCCCAAGCACTGGACGTGCTGCAGGAGCCTTGCTAGCCACGGCCCTTGCTGGAGACCTACAGACCTACAGAGCTTTGCTTCCCGAAGAGACAGATGTGTGGGGGACAACGGCCAAGCCGGCAGGACAGCAGGTGAGCTCAGTGCTCCCATCCTCCGTGTGCCTGGCCTGACAGACGCCCCCGTGTTACTCTGCCCACCGACATCAGGGAGGACTAGAGAAAACCATGGAGGACGCATCGGCTCGACAGTGCAAGTGACGGAAACGGAAGGAGAGAATCAAACATGCAAAACGCTCCGGTGCCAGCCACAAAGCCCACGCGTCCTCCCCAGAGGAAAGGGGCCACGAGGACAGACAGTCCGGGGCCAGCTGCATCACTAGACAGCCCTGTGCTTCTGAGGCTCCGACCTCCAGTTTCTGGGCACGGCACGCGAAGGCCAGCTGGGCAGTGCTCCAGGAGAGCCAGCCAGGCACGGATTCATGTCATGTTGATAGCCCCGTAGGATCAGCCCCGCACCTGCAGGGATGACTGGGATGGCTCCCCAGTCCTGCCTCCTCAGTGGCATACGAGGGGGTCACAGAAAAGGGGGGAAAGTCTCCCAGGAGCCCCTTACTGAGACACCGGCATCCCCCCTCATGAGCAGCACAGTCGTGGTGCTAATCGAAGACTCCCCCAAGTCCTCCTCCTCCGGTCCCACTCTGCTCCCTCCACAACTAGCCACTGTCATTGCAACAACAGAAGCACACTCCAGCACTGTCCCATGCCACCCACCGCCTGCAGCAGTGCCCCGGCTGTGATCAGGGCCCTTCCTGCAGAGCCCAGCCCCAGTATGTACCAGGGCACCAAACGTTCCCTGACCCAGCAGTGCAGGGTGAAGGACCGGGGCTTCCGTGGGAGTGCAAAGCAGAGGGAGAGACCCCAGCAAAGACCCTCCACCCCCAGGCAATGTGTGTAAGGTAAAGTAAAAGCCCTTCTTACCTGCGCCTAGCGAGGCTAAGACCCACTAAACCTGCCAGCCTGAAACAAAAGTGCCACCCGATACCTGGCCTCAGCACACCTGCGATACCTGAGCCAGCCTCTCCGGTTACAGCAGCTCTCTAATGAATTACCCACACCTATCGGCTCACCTGGCAATGACATCACTTGAGTGTCACTAGCCAATCACGGGGCAGCAGCTCCCATTTCTCTTCACAGAACCATAACTAAAGATTAACCTTAAAATGGGCATCTCGAAACCCCTGCTCTGCACGCAGCATCCCTGCCCTCCGAGTCCTTAATGTGGCTCCGGCCCACCCCAGGCTCGCCCCCGGCGACCATTGGGGTGGTCAATGCGAGCCGCAAGCTCCAGGAGATGCCATTGGCCTTTCCTGTGAAACACCCACAATCTCAGTGCCCTCTGCACACATGCAAGTCCCAACCTAAGGCAGGCCCAGTCAGCATCCCAGAAGGGGCACTGGGGTCAGGACACGAGTGCAGCGGTTGTGAGCCATTTGTGTCAAAGGGTCAAAGGCCAACATCGGCTGCACCACGTCTGCCCTGCTTTGTGCCGATGGGGACTGGCATTGCTGCCAATGAATTTCCTCCAAGCGCAAGGAGCCCCCAGCACAGGCCAGCCAGGGCGAACATGGCCAGTGCTGAAGTGGTGCATGGTTTGGTCAAGCCCCTCCTGTCTGGGGGGGATTAACGCAACCGGCTTTGTGGAAGAGATGCTCACTGTGGGCGGGGTGGGGGGTTAAGGAAGCTTCTGCTTTCAGAGGGGTTTGACAAAGGGACTGAACGGGCCAGGAATAAATGTAGCTGGAAATGAGAAGAATGTTTGTAACCATCAGAGGGGCGAGGTGTGGGATCAGCCTCCCAACAGCAGGAGCGGGGACACTAACGAGCTTGTAGATGGCAGGCCCTAACGAGCTGGCCACGTTTGTGAAGGGGTTAGATGATGGGGCTGCCTGTGACAGCAGGGGCTGGACGCGGTGGCCCGGGAGATCCCGCCCAAGCCTGTGTCCCTCGCTAAGTGCAGTGTGATGGAGCCCATGCCGGGCGGCTGAGCCCCACTGCTCTGCAGGGCACTTGGCCCCCGTTGGCTAATGCTGCGGGAGCTTTGCTGGCCCGTTGCAGGAATGCTCCTGCAGCCCTGGCGATGCCACATCTGACTGCAGAGGCAGGAGGAATGTGGGGGCTGCTCACCTGTTGTCTCTGCCCATCAGCACCAGAGACCCTGGCTCGGACTCTGCCAGCTGCTCTCCCCTCGCCCACTCAGCCCCCCTGGGTAAGGGCAGGCCCTGCCCACACTCCCACCTGTCCCAGCACGGGCAAGGTGTGTCCGTTACGTCTGCACCTCGGTGCTCCTTGCAGGAGACACCCCCAGGCTCTGTT